GTGTTTGCACAGTGTTCTATTCTGTACAAACCAGACTGTACGCTCTGCCACGTAAGCCTTTAGAAATTATGATCCAAGCCTCAGTGTTCTCAGAACTTGTCCTCATTTTTTCAAGCATACTACAGTACAACACCTACCAGTATGACTCAGAATTCCTCTATCATGCTAAACGGTTTCAGCACAGTGCTTAACAATGAGTTCTCTATGTGTAGTACACAGTGTGCCACGATGTCTGAATGCACACTGAGGCCCAAGTCTGGATGATGTAGGTGGAGTGATACTGTCTCTGGTGTGTCCTACAGTGTTCATAAGGACTTATTTTGAGGACCTGCTGCTCTTTGCCACTGTCTGTACTCACGACTCCTCTTCTCCTTGCACCCATGTCACTGTTAACAGATAAACTGTTATTAGACTGATGTACTTGCAAACAAAGTGATTCAGATCCACCAAGGGACTGCATGAAAATCTTTTGTTTTGTCACCTTGCAAGATAAAAAAAAGTCAAATACTTGAAACATAAATTAGTTGGATATTTATGGGTATAAGTGATTAAACTTTGTCTCCACATACAGTCTTTCATCTGTCACAACAAGAAAGAAAAAGGTTGAATATGATTCTAGATCAGTGACAGCAATATTCAGAATTTTGTTAAGTATGCTATAAATTTGGAAAAATTGCTAATTCGTACAGTTCCCGGCAATGTGAAAATTATTATTCCATTAAGATATTGTGCTTTAAATTGTATTACAAACTCTGTTTAAGTTATTAATGATGAAATGAGTCGAACAAATTCAATAATGTTGCATTATGTTTTTGATATTTCAGGGAGGTTATTGCAGTTTTCTTTTAGTGGGAGGGTGCAGGGGTAATATTTGTAACTCTTCAGAGGCCCTAGCAACTAGTATACACCCTCCCTCCCCAGCCCGATAATTTTTGTACACTCCCTAAATCAACATCACCATCAATCACGTAGCATCTGGCGCTGCAAGCAGCCAAAACACCAGGATTTATTTGAGCTAACTCTGTTATCGACAGACACACTGATATATGGCATGTCATTATGTGTACATGAGTTGCAATGACTGATCTTTATAGTTTGTTATGAAAAGCAGCCCACTATTAAAGTGCCACAGTCATATGTTTACAACTGTTGCAGTGCCATGGTTTGTCAATTTGTGTCAGTCCACAGTTTATCTACTGATGGAAGTTTAATGGGGGCACTGAAGTTACCCTGTTTATCCAGCCAGGAGCCCTGGGGGCAAACATGTC